TCTCCTTCACTGCCCCTATCTTTGACTACTCTCCTCCATTTTATACAACAGAAACATCATTGCAATCTTGCATCCTTACCTTAAACACTACCTTAAATAATTATAAACCACCGTTCTTCTCCAAATTTTCATCATTTATAATTTTGTCATATTTTTTTGACCAACGTCTCCGTCCCCCACTTGAACCACCGTGAATCCGTTTCCTCCATTATTGTGGACAAACCACACTACTTCTCTAATACGAACCACATTAAAATATCTTAATATGTTTTAACATCTTTATATAATTTTACACAACACACTTCATCTAATTTCACAAAGACTTACAACAATCACTCTTTACTCTCCAAAATCATCGAATCTTTGTCACTTCACCACCTAAAAATTACCCCTCCCCGGCTCCCCGTTTCTCCAATAGCTTCTCTCCGTATAATTTAATCTCACAAACGTTGAAGCAATTACCTCTGAAAAGGATTTCTGAAAGTGAGAGAAATGGGAATTGGGTTGGGGAAGAACGGGTGGGGTGAAGAACAAGTGGGTAGACAAAGAAAAGAAATTGGGAGAAAAAACAAAAAAAATGACAAACTTTATATTTATTATTTATTTATTTTCTTTTTATTCATTTTTTTCTTTTTCTTATAATTGTTTTTAGTCTAAAATTTTATGTCTATGCTCCTTTAACGCGTGAAAGCACGTGTTTGTTCCAGTTCAACTATTAAGTTGCCACGTACACTTGGTCAACGGTTAGAATGGGTTTAAAATATTGTGTTTCAGTGGGTTCGAGAATTCAATTGGCAAAGTCGTGAGTAGAAGGGTCCATGTGACAAATGGTGCCAAGTATAGGGGCCCAGGTCATTCCGTCTATAAATATATACTATATAGTTTGGCTTAAAGTTAATGCAGAGAAAGTTATTACATATATATTTTACTGATGATTATTTATGCACTAAATCAAACAATTTAATTTTAACAGTGAAAAATTATTCTTAACCAAAATTAAGTGATAAGTGTGTGTATCAAAAACATTATCATTTATTGATTTGACCATTTTGAGTCATAGATGTATATAGATCACGTGGTGGAGGGGAAAAAGTAGATAAAAATAACTAAATACTCCTTAATAAAAGGAATAGGGGCAGTATTAGACATAACAGCTACATAAAATATCTTAATGAATACTCAACTAATTGAAGTGAATTATGCAGCATTTTGTTTTAGTTTTATTTAGACCCTTTTCAGCTTATAGGCTGACTAGAGTTATTTATTGGCCGTAACAAATGAATTATTTAGGAAATAGTGGATTAGATTAGAGAAAACTAAATCTATAAAAGCGTAATTTGTGACTAATTAAGCTAAGTAGCATTTTTATATGACGATTACAGATTAATTGTATGGCTACACTTTGTCTTCGTACCGACAATTTAGATAGTTTTTCTTCTTTAATTTCTTCTCATAGGGAAAATTCTTCGTATTTTCAAAGCTCCAAATTAGTACTTCTTTGTATTCTTATGAAACATGAAACGCGAGTAGCACCAGGTGGGGAGCCACCCTTGCTCAAGGAGCATCGAACCAATACACAGTCGCCGAAAAATTACATAAAGGTTAAATTTTAATTTAATAAAAATATAAACAAGTATTGACACCTATTAACACAAGTTAAAGGTTTAGTCTGATGATAAAGGGATTGCAAAAATTTCTTAAGGTCGCGTGCTTTAGCCCTACTAGCCTTATAATTATTTTTTGGGAAAAAAGACATTACTCCCGAACTATCATAAATGGTATGCATATACCTCTATCATACTTTTGGGACATTAGTGCTCCTGCCGTCCAAAAGCTAGAGCATATATACCCTTCACTCTAAGGGCGGAAGACTAAATAAGGACACGTGGTGCAATCTTATCCGTCGGGTCGATGGATAAGATTATGACATGTGTATGTCCGTTAATATAAAGGGTATATATATATGTTCTAGTTTTTAAACGACAGAGGCACCAATGTCCCAAAAGTATGATGAAGGGTATCTGCATACCATTTACGATAGTTCAGAGGTATATTTGTCCTTTTTCCCTTATTTTTTTAAGCTAACTCAAAGAGAGAAGACTTGTCCAAGTTTTATAAGGAGTTCACTCATCTCATTAACCACCGATGTAGTCTGTAAGTCCTTCTTCAACAGTTTGCATGTCAATATTACAAATATTTTTTTCCAGGAAGCCGGTGGCATTTAACCATTTTTATTTTTTTTTATATCAGGTTTAATCAACCAACGTAACAAGGGGTTAGTGGTACCCTATTCAGTTATTTCTTTTACAAAAAATACATAGGTTATCAATCATTATACATACACGCTATATATAAGACTAGGCCTCAACTTAAAATACGTTTGAATTTTTGGTAATCACTCCATTAATAGTTATTCTATTATCTTATAAAAACACATATCTTCTTGATTCAATTATCTTCAATAAAAAAAATAAAAATTTAAGATAATAATTATTATTTGAGTGACAGTATAAAAAATCAAACTCTTTAAAAAGAAAAAGAACAAAAAGGTATTCATCACATGGTAGAGTAGTGAATGATAAAATTAGAGCATGAAAAGGGAGGATCTGAAGGGATTCACGTGATATAATATACAGTACTACAGTTGATAAGAAAAGACCATGCACATGCACGCATGCAATTTTTTCTTGTTCCTGGAGCCCAGGAGGGCCCTCAAACTAAACGGGTCGACCACCTACTTCCTTTGTTTTTTTTTAAAAAAAATGATCTAGTTTAACTTGATATAAAATCTATAAAAAAAAATAAAAGATTTTTCAATTTTATGAATATTATGATTTTAAATTAAAGTTATATCAGATGCATCAAAATGTTCTTTAATTTTATGGTCTTGAACACATGGAAATGATTGATGTCCTAAATTAAAGTTTTGTCAAGTATAAAAATCATTGATTTTTAAACAGACTAACGAAGAAAATATGTCATTCTTGCGGAGAAAGTACTATCTAATTAGGGATATAAAGTAAAGTCATAGAGCAGTACACCACAACCCTGAATAATAGACCAGAACCATTGTACAAATTGAATTGAAGCAATAGGCCCATAGTACTTGCGTATTTTTCTAGGAAAAATTACTTAAATACACAACACTTCTTTATATATTCTCAATATTTCCCTACTCTTTTACTAAAATATAAAAATTCCTTATTTTCCCCCAATTCAACTTAATCGGATACTTTATTAGTTTAAGTATCCGCCCGTTATTAATTAAAGTATCTGCGCTGCTATATTATATATGCATCCGCCCGTTAATTAAGTATATGTGCTGCTAACAACTTAATAATTTAAGTATCCTCTCGCTATTAATTAAAGTATCCGCGCTACTATATTATGCATCCGTCCGTTAATTAAGTATTCGTGCTGCTAACAACTTAATAATTTAAGTATCCGTCCGTTATTAATTAAAGTATCCGCGCTGCTATATTAAGTATCCACACTGCTATATTATGTATCCGAAAAACACTAAAAAAAAGGATTTTTGGTAATTAATGAAAAAGTAGGGAAAGAAAGTAATTTCTTTCTTATACTATGTCATTTGCCTAATTTTTACATTTTTCTAACTACGATATTAGTACAAAGGAGGTTTAAAGTATACTGCACATATTATATAAATAAAAGAAAATTTTCATGCACAAGAAGAAACTTTATGTAAAGTGGTGAAGGGTACAAAAAATAACTTTATAAAATAGGTTTAATTCCTAATTGTAATACTCTTCAACTATTTTTTTTAAAAAAAAATCTGACTTTGCCACAACATGCAAAACCTCAAGAAATAAAGCGGGGGTAGAGGGTCACATTCATTTTTCAGAATTTCAGTAACCTACTCTCATGAATTTACTACTGTAAACAAGGGATGCTTTAATCTTGGTAATTAATTAATTTCAGTCCAGTATTTTCTGGCGATGGAGCAGGTTGATAAAGTAACTTAACAACAGTGGTAATAACTATTTGTACTGAGGGGATGTGTGGATGTCATAAAAAAAGTGAGATCGATGTGAATTTCAAAGAGTAAATGAGTTGGCTTTTTACCTTGCTGGGACATTGGACAATCAATTATTTAGGGTGAGAGGGTTAAGGTAGGCACAAGACAGGAAATTAAAGAATAGGTATAGTTGTAAACTTGTTAAGAAGGATTCCTTCAATCTTTCTTTTTTAAAATCCGAATTGGAGGATGGTATATTCATATTCAGATAAAGCGATCTCTGAGTTGAGAGTGTGATTTTTGCAATATTTTTTACATACGTAAGTTCTAGACAGAATATTGTGAATTCTATTAAACTGACACGTTAGAACAATAATCATATTGAAATCGACACACACTAATGTTATTTTACACGATAAAAATAGCCAAATAGGGGATGTTGTAAATGATGAAGGGTAAATAATAGTGAATGTTTTTACTAAAGGTGCAACCTTTATATACAAACAGATAAACATTACTTTGGTCTTCACCCAATTAATTTCAAACTCTTTTTAAGTTAAAGTCTCTTGTTTAATTATGAGTGAGGAATGTACCAAATGTACTAGTGTTATCTTTTTTTCCTTTAGGTACATGCATGAAGGTAAAATGGTCTCTCTTCATTTTCACTTACTCAATATTTTTGTTGTTATGTATAATTTATCTGCATATATGATGGGGACATAAATTTAACCAAACTGGGGCACACACCTGAAAGTCCTATATGCTCTACTATACTTGTGTATTTGTACTTGCTTTTGCTCACTCTTTACAATTTTTTTTGTTTCCTACCGGATTTCTGGTACCTATTTTGGACTCTACTAATTCCGATCCGCACCGAAAGCCTGTTAAATTTCCATGATATTTTGCATGAATCCTTTTGGACTTAGTACTTACTGGTTACAACATACAACCTTACAATTATCTTATGTAAAGCTATTCTTTAAGGGCCCAAAGTCACAGTGACTTTATTATTAAAGCTGCCATTTCCATTTGCCATTTGCCAAGTGCCAACACTAAAAAGATAAAAGGTGGAAGAGAGGAAGGTGGAGATAGATTACTTCCAATCTGAATCCTCCAATGAATCATCAGTTTCAAGTATCAGATGAAGAAGATGGATCAGAAGAAGAAGAGGAGGAGGAAGAGGAAGTTTTTCAAGAAAACGGCATTAGAAACCTTCAAAATCACTACCAAAACCAGCAGATGCCACAGTCACTCTGCAAAAAGCCAGCAAAATGGGCTAATTTCACAGTACGTGAACAAGAATTGAACAAAGGGACAAGAATAATGAAGCCAAAGAGAGCTAAAACAGATGTTATAGAAGGCCATGGAGGCCGAATTATTCGAGCCACAGGAAGGAAAGACAGGCACAGTAAGGTATCAACTGCAAAAGGTCCGAAGGATCGACGAGTTAGGCTTTCACCAAACACTGCAATTCAGTTCTATGATGTGCAAGATAGGCTTGGCTATGACCGTCCAAGTAAGGCTATTGATTGGCTGATTAAAGAAGCTAAAGCTGCAATTGATGCTCTTGGTGAGTTCCCTAATAATTTTCACTGTACTAAACTTAATCCCAAAAAAATGCAGTATTCATTTGATCAAGAACAGAGTCCAAGATTTAGCCAAGAAAACAGAGGTGTTCAAAATTCTGAATATGGAGTTCAAGACAACCAGCAAGAGGTGAATTATGACATCCCAATTCAGAATTTTAACTTGTTTTCATCATCTGATGGTTTCAAGATTCCATTTTTAAGTGAGTTACAGAGCTACCCACATGGGCATTTTCTCAATTTCCAGTCTTTACAGGATGACACAATCCTATCCTCTGGTAATCATCATCATCAAGGCAGTTTCTTAACCACCACTTCAGTTAATCATTTCCCATCAGTTTTAAGTCAAAATCAGGTGTTTTCTCACAGGGAACCCCTTCAGTCCAGTTTCTTCCCTCTAATGAGTGATCCATTAAGCACACAACTTGAGACCCTTTCATATGGATTTGCCAATGATGGTTTCTCAGGACTAACTTCTAGTGCTTCAAGAATTCAAGGGGAAGAGGAGCAGGCTACATTTTTTTCTGCTTCTTGACCCACTGCCTCTGCATTATCAAGATTCAAGACTAGCATATCTTTTCAGAATCTTCTTCACTTCTCTCAGGAGCTGAAAACTTTGTTGAGTGTGATGTAATGCAGAATTTCTTATGTTATTATTATTTTTAAGTTTCTGTAAAATTATTATTCTTGTAATTTTGCCTCCTTAATTGGATGATCAGCTCCTCATCAAAAGATTCATAATCTCAATTTGGAGGGGGTCACGAAAAAGAAACATGGCAAGGGTATGTTTTGTTTGGAACCGGGATATCCCAAAATTATAATCTAGGACGATAACTTATCTCATATTATATACTATATGAGATAAGTAATCTAGACTATAGTCCTAATTCTAAGACCAATTTTGATTAATACTTCCAACCAAATTTTAAATTTCTAATTCTAAATTGGGATAACCCACCTAATCCCTCCAACCAAACGACTAGATGAATAGTTTAGAGAGAGCCAAGGGCAAGAGGAAGAAGATTCTTTGAATTAATGAAAGAAAGACCAAGATGCGAATTACGAAAATGGTGTCATGTATATTTGGTGTTGTAGCAATCAAAGAATCAAATTAAAGGGATAAAAGAAAGTTGGGTTTTTTCAAAAATTTAGCTATTTTCAGTTAGTACACAGGATCTTGAAGCAGTGATTGTAACTTAGGTACATCATAAGTGTCATACTCATAAAAGTCTAGATTGTTAATGCTACTCTACTGATACTTGTCAGTTCTATTGGCAGCAAAGGCATTCAATTAAAAGCAGCTCACAGTACTGCCCTCCTACTGATCTGTTTCAATCAAATTTGTGTTGCCATTTGGATGCATTCAATTCCCAATTGTCAGTCTCATTTAGATGCCAATTCTTATATAAGTCCCTTTCATAAAACCTAATTAGTACATTCACTTGTTCCAATTTTAGGTTCGAGGGGTAAAAGGAACAAAAAGGTTGAAGCTCTTGAGAGGCGTTATCCATATGGCCTTGAAAACATAATTAGGGAAATATAGTAACATAAAGTGAGGAAGTCATTCTAGATGGTCAAAGACTCATATGTCATCATTAATTATTATTCATAATATATAACTAATAGATTTAAGTTATATGCATTAACAACTTAATTTTTTTTACACAGTTAGCTAGTGTGATTAAGCTATTATAGCATGCCCATTATTACTATTCTTATCGTTTTACCTATAATTATCTTTTCTTTACGAATAAAGTTATATATGCCATAAGCAATGCAACAGTGTCAGCAGGTTTTATCTATGTTCGATTAAACTTGTGACATATGTAGTGACCCCGTGGGGTTTCATGTGTGTCTTTCCACTCAGCATTGATGGGTGATAGAAAAGCAGCTTATCATTCATGTGGCTACTTAATTTCTAAAGTTGAAAAAAAAAAGGAGGTACTTTAATTTCAAGGGCCATTATAATAAAGTGGTTCCCAGCATATGTACCAAAATCATCAATGTAGCGTATGATTTTCTGGCAATTTTTTTACAAGCGTGGTTGGGATATTTACCTAATTTGAACATAAAAAGGTTGCAGCCACGTGAGAAATGAAAAGTGATCAACAATATTATTATTGATAATAGAGACATTTGGTACATTTTATGGACGATGACACTTCTAAGTTATAGAATACAAAAGCAGGACATAACTATAACTAAGGGAAAACATTAAAATTCTTAAGCCTTTTCCTGGTATCTTATTTTGGACTAAGATAGATCGCTACTGAGGATTAGGAGGACGGCAATTAGCTGCAGAAACACGTGATCCCCATTCCAAAAGTTCTTTGCTAGTATCATCCTTGTGCACAAAGACTTCAATGAAACACAAGGAGTCCTTGTGTGTGCTTGTCGCTGTTGCTATTGCCTCGGTTAGGTCCTCCTCCGTCTTTACCTGCAATGAAATATCTCATCAATTTCTGTATAGGTGCATGTCACATTGACAATTTTCTAATCGCATAGTGGGAGAAAATGTTACAATGTGTTCATAAATACTGACCTTTGCAGTCCAACATTTGCCTTCACCATTATGGATAGCATTCACAAGACCAGTGTAGTCCCAGTTCTTAATCACGTTATATGGGCCATCATGAATCTCTACTTCAATGGTATAACCTCCGTTGTTGATGAGAAATATAATGTTCTTTTGTGCACATCTTATCATGGTTGATATATCTTGAGCAGTAACCTATGTTGCCAAAAAGAGTTTTAGCTTTCTCAATTATGTTTCTCATAATTCACTTTAAGAAAAACTAAGGGGTCGTTTGGTGTGAGGGATAATACCAAATAGTCCCGGGATTAAATTATAGTACCGCTTATTTTGTTGTTTGGTTGACAAGTTCGGGATAACTTATCCCGGGATTAATAATTAGTACCGGGATAAGTTATCCCTCTCTTTGGGTGGTATAGTAATCCCGGGATAAAATAGGTAAATGACAAAAATGTCTCTTTCAACCCTTTTGTTATATTACTTTTTACATTAATGAAGGACATTTTTGTAAACAAATAAATTATTCTTAAAATTTATTATTTTGAATACAACAAACCAAACACTCAATAAAAAATAATCCCAACACAACTTATCCCATCATAACTAATCCCAACATAACTTATCCCATCATAACTCATTTTCAAACCAAACGACCCCTAAGTATGCTAATGAGTCTTGAGCAGCAAAAAATGAGAACATTTGAGAGTATGATCATTAAGTTCACAACCAATATGAGCAACTGACCTGGAAGCTTCCATCACCGATGCAGGCAATGATACGTTTATCTTTAGCAGCCTGAGCATAACCGAGAGTGGCACCGACTGACCAGCCAATGGATCCATACTGCATCTGGAATTCAAACCTGCAAGTATTTGAATAGAACTTTATCTTAATATAGCTACAATCAGACTTCCTGAACTGTTATTGAGATTGATATGTTGTCAAGTTGTCTTGTTCTTCCATTAATACTTTCGATTCTACTCCTCATTAGCAGGGTTTAGAATAAAGTTAGAGTCATGCTTACCCGCAATTTTCAGGAAGATTTAGCTTCTGACAATTGAACCATGAGTCCCCGGTCTCTGCAATCACTGCAGTGTTACCGCTTAGCATTTCCTGTGAAGGATAAAGCAAAGTGAACAAATTAAAACTTGCAGGGACTGTAAGAATTCCTCTTTTTATTCTGTTGTATCAAGTGTCATGTAATTCTCAATTCTTTTTTACAAAGTGTTCTGTGTTAATCACAATTCATATATACCTGAATGTGCTTGAAGAGTATATTGACTCGAAGAAGTTCATCCTTCTCGCGTTTCAAGGCAACACCCGGAGGGACATAAATACGATGGTGATTTTCCAAAGCAGTGGTATTCTTCTTCAGCTTTTTGGCCAATGCACTTAAGAAATCAGTCATGAAAACCCAACCAAAGGAGGGGCCATTTCCAATAGTCACACGATTAGGTTCAACAACAATCAACTTCTCCTTTTTAATCAGCAATGAGTATCCAACAGAGCTGTAGTCATTGAATATGGGGCCAACAAAGACATAAGCATCCGCAGATTCAACAATCTCCCCACAAAAACTAGAACTCACTGCTCCCCAGTATGTCCCAATGAAACTAGGGTGGTGCTCTGGTACCAGTCCCTTGCCAGATGGCATTACTGCCAACGGATAGCCACAGGCATCAGCAAGTTCCACAAAGGCCTTTTGTGCTTTTGCCACTCTTACTTTGGGACCTCCCACAATAACCGGTTTCACAGACTTGTTCAAGAACTCTGCTGCTGCTTCAACAGCTGCTTCTAATCCTAGTTGATTGCTGACCCTGCAATTTCCAAATGCGTTTCCCTCTTAAGACAAAAGCCTAATGTGGCCATAGATCCTTCCACTAAAATGGTTAAAAGAATCATGGTGGATTCAGGAAATGGAAAATATACGTAAATAAAGGAACAGGGAAGAACATACTTTGGAGCAAGATAGAAAGGAACAGGTTCTCTAGCAAATGTTGGGTGAGCGATCCCAGGCAAATTACAACCTATGCTAATGTAAACTGGCTTGCTCTCCTTTAGAGCAGTTGAAATTGCAGTATCAATCAATTCATGTGCATCATCCAAGTTATTCACCACTGCCTGTTACATTATACCAACTTGATCACTTTCGTTGAACATACATTAACATAATGACACATACAATTTAGTCCAACGCAATTACCTAAATCAATGTGGAAGAACTAAACTAGTAGTTATTCTCTAATCAAGAATTACGCACATAATACATGTGATGAATGAAGTAAGAGCAATTGTCATAAATAAAGCGCAGAATTGCAGTACAGGAGCAAATACAGGAAATACCTGAGAACAAGTAACAGTTTGAAAGCATCTAAGTTCCTGGCTAAAATCTGGTAGGCCAATAGTATGATGCAAAATTCTGTTGGTACCATAGTCATTCGAATTCGGCCCTCCAACAATACAAATCACAGGCAAATTCTCACTGTATGCCCCAGCAATAGCATTAAGCACACTCAGCCCTCCTACAGTGAATGTCACTACACATGCTCCCACCCCTTTCGCACGTGCGTACCCGTCGGCGGCGTACCCAGCGTTTAGTTCGTTACAGCAGCCGATCAAATTCAGCTCCGGCTCGGCAATCAGATGATCCAGCAACGTCAAGTTGAAGTCGCCGGGAACCGAAAACACGTCCTTTACGCCGATTTGTACAAGCCGCCGAGCCAAGTGCCGTCCCAAAGTTCCACCTCCACACGGCGAACTCGCTGGAACTGAAGCTGACTGAGCCGTGGAACCGATTGCATTGTTACCCTCCATTTCTAAATTCTTAACAAAATTATGGTGATTTTTAGCAGAAAATTGATTTAACCTTATGTATTTTGACGATGGTTGTTAATTGTGATTAAGGGTGTTTATATATATAGTTGTCTATGATCATCAAGGTGATGGTTTTGAAGACAGTGGGCAAGAAAAAAACTGCTATTAGACAGTGTACACTTGCACTGAGAAAGTTGTATACCGAGGGCTCGTTTGGCCATGAGACATAGTATCATGATATGGTATCATGATATGAAATTATAAGATGAAATTAAAGTTTTATTTGGACATGCGATATAAAATTTTTGTGTTGTATTATTTCTCATAAACATAAAAACCTATTAAAATAGCCCCAATTGTTTATTCAATCTTATCAAATAAATAA